CTCGATTGCCACCACTATTTACGTCCACCGTTACCAAGTCCTCTGTAACGAATAAGGCCTTTTTATTATATTGATTGACTTATGGTGTAATCTAAACCCTTACAACGCTTCCGATAATTTGCAAACAAAGAGTACCAATCCTTATATAATATTGAGCTTTTTGGGATCTCAATATGACCTACAAATTTAAAAAGAACTGATTTTACAATTTGAAACTTCTCTATTAATAAATGATATATCAACAAATTAAGTACTAAAAGAGAATGTGACTAACACTTTGATGAATAACAATGAATGAAACTCAAATATTAGGTGAGAAAAACTTTGATGAGAAATATGTTTTTCAAAAGTTGATTCAATCAAAAGTTTTTCAAAGTAAATGATTTGATAAAGATAAATTAGATGTAAGAACACTATAATTTTGCTCAAGAATTTCTCACTTAAATGCTCTTGAAAAGTGTTACAATGAATGCAAAATGAGTTGGTATTTCTAGAGTTCAAACGCCAAAAAAGGATCATACGATAAACCCTCCAAATGATACGTCCGACATCTATGCTGTTCCCCCTATGCTTTGCATCATTCATCTCGGTCCAAAGAAACCAAAATATCAGTAGAGGAATAATAGTATGAATGTGTCCACAACGAACATACAGTCCAGAATATTGCCATCTCTGGAACCTCTGTTTGACTCCCTCTCTTTAACTCATAGGAATCTGAAAAATATCCCCAAACTGTTACCATACCTGATCGAAAATGCTACTACCATTGAAAATGTGACTGATAGTCTCAATCTCAGAATAAAACTGGCAACAAGAAGCCAATTGGCATCCAATCCTTCTCTGAATAACCACATCTATTGGAATGAGGTTCTGCCATAGTCTCCGTAGAAGAATGAGACAGTAATTGGCAAAATGGAGCTCTACAGTAACCGAAACGAATCCTGACACTGACGTCCCATACGTACGAGCTGCCATGTAGACTTGGTAGCGAAGCTACCATCCGATGTATCCCGCCAAACAATGCGATTTGGAGAATCTGCACATAAAGGCATAGCCCCTATCTATATCGCCATAAGAGGAGGGATAACCTGTAATAAACGTCCTATATCCAACTGAATGTCATAAAAAAAATCCTGCACCCTCGTAGATGTGTACTGCCGGTGTGAGGATAGGGATGCCAACGTGGTCTTACCCATCCAACAATTATACTAAAAGAATATCTGACCTATCTCAAGGTGCCATGCAATGTGTGGCTTTGTCCGAAACTCAACTAATTTCAACCTCTTCCAAGTGGAAGAAGCTGATTTGGGAACTACTGCAAGTAAATGATGTGTGTGACACCCCGAACATATACTTCGAGTATTACGTACAATACAAAATAATTCTGCCTTTGCTATATATAAAAACTCTTAAATAAAAGTATTACATACTGGAAACTTATGATCAATTTATAGTAAAATATCTTTGTAAAATTTAATGGCCAGTAGAAGTGCATACTGCCTTGAAATTTTTCTTTACAAATACGAACTCGGTGTTGTTACGGTTAATTTGGGCAGCTAGTTCAAACATTTTTATAAAATTTATCCCAACTCTGTTTTCTATGAAATCCATGGCTTTCAAAAGGTATTTCCAAGTAATTCCCTAGGTTAAAATATGGAAAGTTTCCAAGATCATATGATATGGACGTTTTAATAAAAACAGTGAGGTACTGCACATAATTTCCAAATTTACCTTTTGATGCTTAAAAATTTATATCTCAGGGTACAGAGATCCAAATTGAGTGATTCTTGTGCTCATATAAAGACAACTCAAAGAGGAACGCAGGAATATTTTTAGAATCTCAAATAGGTATTTATAGTGTTCGTAATAGCATTTTGAATTGACACTAAAAACTGGTCCAGTTTCTGCCTTTTATCATTTTCAAGAAAAAGGTCTTATGTCTCTTAGCATAACATAAAAGACATGGTTACAAAATTTACTTCTAGTACCATATTACATCATGTCTTATACATGTTTATATAATAAAAAAAAAAACATAGGGAAGGCAGTCTACGAACGAAACATACGAGAGGGAAATTTTGATACAAAAACTTTGTCCTTAACCCATTATCAAGTATGCTGACCGACTTCCACCAACTCGACAATCAAGGACCTGAAAATTGTATAAAATACTGTGAGTATAAAGAATACTCAGTAAGATACCATGCTCGGGTTTAACATGTTAATACTACACAAAAGAAAACATTCAAACACATACTTGTACATTTCGGCTTGCCGGTGCCCTTCGGACTTGTCCTAAGGCATAAGTAGATATCTTTGTGGACTTGTCCACCTCTTTCATATTATGGTTTTCATGCATAGCTTGAGCATAAATATTAACATGAAATTCTACCACTTGAGCATAGCAAGTATCTTACCTAAGAGCTTGAAGAAATTGACTGAAATGTGTACTAGGTGCTAAGTTCCTTTCTACACGTTTTTCTTCATGCTGGTCCTTACTGTTTGTCGCAAATATAATCAGGTTGCAAAGA